TTTTCGGAGTGAGAGTTGTGAACTCTTGGAACAATCTACCAGAGAGTGTTGTGACGGCACCGAGTGTGAGCTCTTTCAAGAGAAGACTTGACCAACACTGGAGCAGGTTCAGGTACATTCAGCAGCCGGTGCATGCCCAGTACTTGTCAACAGTGCGTAACAGAGACCTGACCGATCGCCCAAGCGGCTAACGAGCCGATCAGTGGTAAGAGGATAAAAGTAAGTGTCCGAGGTCAGCCAGTGGCCAAGCGCCACCCTACCAGGAGACAGTAGAAACCATCCACCTGTGAAATAAAACAGAGGCCCTCAACGTCAGGTTCCATCGCCTAGGAAAGAAGGTTTGGGACAAGCTCCTGGACGACTCTCACAGCCCAGACCACCTACGGGGGAAGACATCAACGGAGGGCGACCCCACGCCTGTTGACCACGGAGTCTGCCCGCACTACAACAACCCAACCCGCGACTCAACTATGTCCGCCACAACGATCCACCTTAGATTAAAATTTAGATGATATAAGATCACATTTAACAAGTCATAATCTTGTGAGACCATAACGTAATACAGTAATAAGATATTAATAAACATGTAATTGTAAAATCAAACCAGTCATTGTTTACCAAAGTAACCATTGTGTAACCTCATCCTAAATCCTAGGTTAGCTTAGTTAGCCAACAAACTCTGTAATATGTAAAACAAGGGGTGTCGTCCCTCTCTTGTTTAACTCATTAAACTTCTTTTCCAACCTTTCCCCCCACGACTATATGTTGTGACTTCTCCATCCCTCATGTCTGGCTGTGCCTTGAGCCCCAGCATGCCTTCCATCCTTTCCCCACCTTAACCTAAAAAAAAAAAAATAGCGTACCGGGGAACAGAGTGGTGGGTAGGTAGTCCTGGCAGGCCTCTCAGCTGACGTCACCTCAGGGCCCATAGTTGGTGTTAAGCACAACTCTCTATATATCACACCACCTTAGTTCTTCTAGCTAATCATTGTCTGTATTACTTTATTTTTGTTATATATTTCACAATGTATTTCAACTATTTTTGAGTCGTTCAGGAGTTTAGGTGGTACAGCACAGATGATGATGCGAGGCGGTACAGCACAAAGGAGATGAGAGGTGGTACCGTATTAAGAATTTATGCTGTAATAATCATTAACCATGGGGCGAGGCCAGCGTTATCACCATACACAGTACACGACATACACTAAGACAAGCAAGACCACTTATGTGAGGAGGAGATCAGTACTGGTCCACGACAGCTCCTCACCGCCCCTGACTAACACCTCTCCAACACCCGGCTGGCAGGCGCGCACCACACCTCGTACACGCGCGCATAACATCTGCCTGTAATGTCTACGCCGCCCTCCCCAAAAATATATTTTCTGTGAGACTATATTAAAATAGTTACCCAATAAATGAGTTAAACATTATCGTGGTAGGTAACAGCAGCTAGCAACCATTATTAACCAGGCCTACTAGGAGTGAGTGTGTGCACGGTGAGGCAGCTTCCCACACCCTCACACTGTAATACGTCCTCTCTCACACCACATAATACCCACGTCCTCCTCGATAACTAAGACACTCCTACACCATGACAGAGCAACACGCGTGAGGGAGCGGGGAGGTGAGGTAAGGAGGGAGAATGGTGGCGGTATTGATCAACCACTCTCTCCCCAGCCTGCCACTCTGTCCCTCCTACACCACTCTCTCCCCCAGCCACCACTCTGTCCCTCCTACCCCTCTCTCCCCCAGCCTGCCCTCTGTCCCTCCTACCTCTCTCCCCCAGCCTGCCACTCTGTCCCTCTACACTCTCTCCCCAGCCTGCCACTCTGTCCCTCCTACACCCTCTCTCCCCAGCCTGCCACTCTGTCCCTCCCTACACCACTCTCTCCCCCAGCCTGCCCTCTCCCTCCTACACCCCTCTCCCCAGCCTGCCACTCTGTCCCTCCTACACCACTCTCCCCCCAGCCTGCCTCCTTGCCTCCCTCCTACCCCTCTCTCCCACCCAGCCTACCACTCTGTCCCTCCTACACCACTCTCTCCCCAGCCTGCCTCTGTCCCTCCTACACCCTCTCTCCCCCAGTCTACCTCCTTCCTCCTACACCCTCTCTCCCCCAGCCTGCCCTCCTTGCCTCCCTCTACACCACTCTCTCCCCGAGCCTGCCTCTGTCCTCCTACACCACTCTCTCCCCAGCCTGCCACTCTGCCTCCCTCCCTACACCCTCTCTCTCCAGCCTACCACTCTGTCCCTCCCTACACCACTCTCTCCCCAGCCTGCCTCTGTCCCCCCTACACCACTCTCTCCCCCAGCCTGCCTCTCCTGTCCCTCCCTACACCACTCTCTCCCCAGGCCTGCCTCTGTCCCTCTACACCACTCTCTCCCCCAGCCTACCACTCTGTCCCTCCTACACCACTCTCCCCCAGTCTACCACCACTCTGTCCCTCCTACACCACTCTCTCCCCCAGCCTGCCACTCTGTCCCTCCTACACCACTCTCTCCCCAGCCTGCCACTCTGTCCCTCCTACACCCTCCCCAGTCTACCACTCTGTCCCTCCCTACACCACTCCCCCTCTCTCCCCCAGTCTACCACTCTCCCTCCTACACCACTCTCCCCCAGCCTGCCACCTGTCCCTCCTACACCACTCTCTCCCCAGTCTACCACTCTGTCCCTCCTCTACACCACTCTCTCCCCCAGCCTACCACTCTGTCCCTCCTCACGCCACTCTCCCCCCAGTCTACCACTCTGTCCCTCCTACACCACTCTCTCCCCCAGCCTGCCACTCCTTGCCTCCCTCCTACACCACCTTCTCCACCATCCATCACTGCCCTCAATTTTCACAGACAGGCAATAGATAACCTCCCTATAAGCGAGGTTGACTGACGGAATACGAAATGAAGCCTTAAAACACCTGTATATGGGATAGGGTATAGGCTGTCCAGTGCGAGGGCCGGCAAGTGGATAGCTCTTCTGACAAACATCTCTAAATTGACTACAATAACTAACCCCATGTACCCCACCATTAGCCTGTTTAGTGTCAGTCAACTGCTTCCTCCTTAACTTTTCAATTTCCGAACAAATAAATATATTCCTTCCTCTTCTATCCTTTCATTCTTTCTTTTTCTAACAAATAACTATAAATCTATTACTACTGCACTACTTCCCTCCTCTACCACACAGCTTCAACAGTCTCCCACCACTAACCATGTCACCATCAACCATACCAAGACCATGGTTATGCACCTAATCTCTCCTCCCACCATCACACTGGTTCCAACACACTCCAGGTTGTGGACTCCACCAAGCTCCTCGGCGTCACTACACAGAAGATAATAAACTGAACTGTAAAGTACACGTCAGTACAACCGTCAAATCTTCCAGCTATCGTCTCCACCTCTTCTGTCGCCTCAACTTCCCGCGCCTGAGCTCTTGAGTGTTTACACAACATTCATACTTCCTAAGCTCACCGATGCTTCCCCTGCCTGGTCTGCTACACAACGAGGACTCCTAGACAAGGTGTGCAACACTATTCTATCCCTCTCCTACACTACACACACTGACCCTCTCAACTCTCTCTGATCATCACAATGACTTCAGCTGTCAGTTGGGGACGAAACTACTACACCATCCTCGCCACCGTCTCCCACTACCACCTGAGATCCCTCGTCCAGCTTCCAGTCCATACAACCACGTAATGATAAAAACACAGTTGTATCATTAAAGGAAGTCTTTGTGAGGGGCATCTTGAATGACACCCCCCCACCCACATATATCCACACCCATGCCCACAGTGTTACCACATTAGAGAGCGTTATAAAGGACAATGTTACCAGACGAGTGTGTGTGTCCGGGAATGTAAGGGTGAATGACCCACGGCTACTGTCTGGCTCTGCAAGGTGACGATATCGATTACCACACACTACCACACACCTTGGTCAACACACTACCACACACCCTGGTCAACACACTACCACACACCCTGGTCAACACACTACCACACACCCTGGTCAACACACTACCACACACCCTGGTCACACTACCACACACCCTGGTCAACACACACACTACCACACACACCCTGGTCAACACACTCACCACACACACCCTGGTCAACATATCTACCACACACCCTGGTCAACACACTACCACACACCCTGGTCAACACACTACCACACATCTTGGTCAACACACTACCACACACCTTGGTCAACACACTACCACACACCCTGGTCAACACACTACCACACACCCTGGTCAACACACTACCACACACCCTGGTCAACACACTACCACACACCCTGGTCAACACACAATAACAGTGACTCAGCAAAGTATGGTGACACGTAATAAGAATCAGATGGGTATGGTGACGCCTATGAATGGTGACACTTATGTAGGGTGACTTACCTGGGTATAGTGACACTTAAGTATGGGACTCACCTGGGTATGGGACTCACCTGGGTATGGGACCGGGCACAGGTGGTACAGAGGAGGGTGTGGCACTGATGACACCTGGCAGAAGGGTTGCCATGGTGACAGTCAGCACAGGGCCCATGTCCAGAGCCGGCCTCCAGGGCTTCCATCACCCCCCTCACCCAGCTGTTGCTCTGTAGACCCGACACCTGTGGGGGCAGTATAGTGTTAGTCTCCATCACTATAGTCACCATCACTATAGTCACCATCACTATAGTCACCATCACTATAGTAACCATCTTTCTAGTCTCCGTGACACTACCCCGTCGGCAACACTTTTCCCCGCCGTGACACTTGCCCGTCCGTGACGCACGTCGTGACACCCCGTCCGTGACACTTACGTCCTTCGGCCTTACCGCCCGTATTGCCCGCCCGTGACACTTACCCCATCCGTGACACTTACCCCGTCCTTGGGCAAGATGGACTGTTGGCGACACAGAGGGCAGGTGAGGGTGAGAGATTCTGGCGGGGTGTAGCTGATGAGGCACCGCTCACAGAAGGTGTGTAGGCAGGGCAACACCTGTAATACACCCGGGGTACACTTTAGTACAGTATATGGGTTTAGCTTAACACAGTACACCTTACAGTAGGGGTACACCTTACTATACACAGTAGGGGTACACCTCACTATACACAGTAGCCAGTAGGGGTACACTTCGGTATGACAAGAAGTTACACGTTCATTTGTCCTGATTAGATGATGATGATGATGATAGTGTGTGTTCTGAAGGTATCATAAGTGCAATATGACACATGTTGGTGCTGTTAACAAGTGATCAACACACATGGAACGCTAACATGGAAACAGCTCATAAGAGGAGCTCATGTGTTACGTTACTACAGCACAAATACACTGTCGACGGCCACTCACACTGGGGATATCGGCGCTACAGAGAGCCACCTCCTGTGGTGACCTGGCCTCATCCTCCTCAATATTTAGGATGTGTATAAGTCCTTCTGCTCTGGGGTGTGGAGACGACATAGCGCGCCTTGTGAGGATGACTGAGGTGACGAGCAGTAGGAGCCTCACACACACACACGGACAGACGGACAAGAGTACACTCACCAGTCACGTGCTGCCTCTGTCGCGCGAGACCATCTCCCCCCACCCACACACGCACTCACACACACGCGCGCGCCGCCACACTATGAACCCCTACCAATGCCTGTCTTACCCCCACCCCCCCCCACATCCCCCGTTTCTCACAACACCCACGTCAATATCCCCCCACCCCCACGTCCACACGAATTCCTCCGTCTGATGGTTCAGAGACATTGTGACGTCACGCTGCTACTTCTGCATAGACCACCACCGTGCGTGTGTGTCCGTTTCAGTATGGTTTGTAGTGACAGTCTCTCTCTCTCTCTCTCTCTCTCTCTCTCTCTCTCTCTCTCTCTCTCTCCATATTGCCTTAAGTAAGTGTGATTAGATAAATTATGTCAGTAATAAGGTCTCGCTTATGACGCCATCTGATGACATCACTTACCCCTACTAGTGATGACGTACACCTCTCATGTCAAAGAGTGACATCAGGAAAGAAAAGTAACGGAGGCATATGACAGGCAGATGGGTCTCATTAGTGCTACCTCCAGGACCTTCATCACACACACACACACACACACACACACACACACACACCCTCTCCTACTGATCATACTGTACATGTCACAAACTTATTGTGTGTACTATTACCCACACAACCACACTGTCCCCCCACCTACCACCACACTGTCACCCACATCACCACACTGTCACCCCACCACCACTGTCCCCACACACCACTACACTGCTCACCCACACCACCCTGTCCCCCCACACACCACTACACTGTCCCCACACCACCACACTGTCCCCACACCCACACTGTCACCCACACCACCACACACTGACACCCCACACCACCACACTGTCACCCACACACCACCACACTGTCACCCACACCACCACTGTCATCCCCACACCACCACACTGTCACCCACACCACCACACTGTCCCCACACACCCCACCCCACACACACCACCTGTCCCCACACCACCACATCCACACCACTACACCCACCACCACCACCCCACACACCACCACACTGTCACCCACACCACCACACTGTCACCCACACCACCACTGTCCCCCACACCACTCTCACATACAATCACCCCACCACCACACTGTCTACACCACCACACTGTCACCCACACCACCAGGCTGTCACCCACACCACACCCACTGTCCCCCACACACTACAATGTCACACACCACTACAATGTCCCCACCCACACCCACACCCACCATCACCACACACCACCACACCAATCACCCCACACCACCACACTGTCACCCACACCCACCACACCATCACCCACCACCACTGTCCCCACACCACTACAATGTCCCCACACTACTTTCTAATGTCCCCCCCACCCACCACACTGTCACCCCACACCACCACACTTGTCTTACCCACACCTGTCCCCCACACCACCTACAATCTCCCCCACCACCACACACTGTCACCCACACCACCACACTGTCACCCCACACCACACTGTCACCCCACACCACACTGTCACCCCACACACCTGCACACCATCACCCACACCACCACACTGTCACCACACTGTCACCCACACCACCACACTGTCCCCCACACCACCACACTGTCACCCACACCACCACACTGTCACCCACACCACCACACTGTCACCCACACCACCCACCTGTCACCCACACCACCACACTGTCCCCCACACCACTACAATGTCCCCCACCACTACAATGTCCCCCACACCACCACACTGTCACCCACCAACCACACTGTCACCCTCACCACCACAGTGTCCCCCACACCACTACAATGTCCCCCACACCACTACAATGTCCCCCACACCACCACACTGTCACCCACACCACCATACCTACACTACCAAACCACTAAACTGGTTGGCGGCGGCTGCAGGTGGCACTAATGAGGCAACACACGGCACCCTGTTGGTGGCACTGTGTCTGCAGGACTACTGAAGGGCACAGCA